GGCTCCGAGGGGTCGGGGCGGAGCGCGGGGTTTGGGGCTCACACTCGGCTCTGCCTCGGGGCTCGCTGGGCCGGATGCCGGCAGGAGGGTGTGCTCGGGGCTCCCTGAGGCTTCATGGATTATTTAGGACATCCTGAGCTGGAAGGGAACGGGATGCCCAGGGGTGATGCAGGCCTGCTGCTCCTCGGCAGCCTTTGGAACACACATCCCGGGAAGCCTTTGGAATATCGGCCACGGGCTCGTGCCTCCACGGGGCAAACTGAGGTTGTGCCCAGGTCGGTAGTTTGTGCCCGGGACACCTGGGTTGTACCTGGGACAAATGATTGGTACCCAGGACACCGGGTCTGTACCCAGGACACCTGGTTTGTACACTTAACACTGGGCTTGTGACCAGGACACTGAGTTTGTACCCAGGACAGCTGTTTTATCCTCAGGACAAGTGGTTTATACCCAGTTCTTGCACTCTTTGCACCATGGACTTTGGAGAACCCCATTTCTGTGGGGTACAGAGCTTTGGGAATTTTTCAGCTGTGCTGGAACCCAGTTAATTCCTGTGATCTCCTTACCTCGAGGGTGGGATGATGGGATGCTGCAGCACTGCCTGACACTGATGGAATGCAGCAGTTGTACAATTGAATTCCGCCTCCAGCTGTAATTCTGTTGGAGTTTAGGCTTTGCTGCTGAAATAAATTAGGGAATCTGATGCCTGACTTGGCTGCAGACCTTCCCAGGCGCGGAGGTGTTGCTGCAGAATGCAAATGTGCCCTTTCTTAGCATAAAAACATTGTTCCAGAGATGTGTTTTCGACCTCAAGGGGCCATTATAAGCTCCTAATCCTGTACTGGTGACCGGAATTGTCTGCAGCAGGCATTTTGGGAAGGGTTTTATTGCTTTTCCGTATGCTCAGGGCAGCTTAATGTGTTGCACCACTTGGCTCCAAGATCCCAAAGCTGCCACTGATCCTGGAAATCTGAATTGATGCCTGCAGCAGCGGTGGAAATTTGTGTAGAGAGGCTGAATGTGCTGGCAGGAGGAGCTTCTGAGAGGGGAACTAGAGCCACGAGGCCTCTTTAGCCATCTAATGGAATGAGATTTCCAGGGGAGGGATGCTGTTTGTGCCACCCTTTTAATTGCTGGATGTGCTGGAGCCTTGGCATGGGATGTTTGGGATGGGGCTGCAGGGCACAGGTGGGGATCACCTGCAGGGCAGCGTGGCTGTCCTTGTTTCCTCTCTGCTGCAGCCCTGCTGAAAAAGGAGACTCTTCCTACTTCATCCTGACACCTTTCTGTTGGTGTTAGTTTCAGTCTTGACCTGTTTTAACCATTCATGGAGCAGCAGCATTGAGTTCTGGGGCGAGCTGGGCTCATTGTACCACAACAACACCCAGGAAAAGCATTGTGGACTGGAAAAGCAGCTGAGCAGGGGCTGTGCCAGGCACAGGTTGGGGATGAGCCGGATCTTCCAGCTGAAATAGCAATCCAGTTACCTTTCAAGCTGTTCCCTGTCATTTGTGCTGATTTCCCTAATCAATTACAGGCTATTTTTAGCCCCCTACAGGTAGTTTCTACTGTCCAGCCTGGCACCTTGTCCTGTGGGATTCCCTACAGTGAGGCAGGTGACAGAAGTGGCCTTGCAGCAGGAAGGGCCACAGATTTCACAGCACCAGCCAAGAACATTCTCTGTGGCCACGTATTCTGTCAGGTCTTGTTGATGCAGAGTTTCAGATCTGTTCTGGAAATCCCAAGTGTTGTTATTCCTGCAGGCCAAGCTGGTGGGAGATGGAGGGGAAAAATCTGGAGCAGGACAGCAGATGGACAGCATCCAGCAATGCACTGGGAATTCTGAGCTGTTCTTTCATGGCCATTGTCCCTTGGAACAAGGAGGGTTTTTGCTGTGGAGGTGTAAAACCAGACTTGTGTGCCACTTGTGTTCCTTGTAGATCTCTGACCCTGAAGCCTGTGACCAAATGTATGAGAGCTTAGTGAGGATCCACACCAACTTCTACAAAAACAAGGTGAGAGCTGTGGCACTGGCCACTGCCCCTCTCTTTGGTGGGGAGCCACCATCTGCTGCAGCGTTCCTGGGAATGGCAGTGTTCCTGGGAATGCCTGAGGGACAGCTGAGGGGTGGATGCAGCAGTGGCAGCTGCTGGGTGAACAGGGCAGGCCTGGTTCCTGCTGTGGATGAACAGAATCCCAGCTGAAAACTCGCTCAGACTGTGCCAGCTGGTGACACTTGTACCTTTTTCATGCACTACAAGTGACTTCTCTCTCTCTCTCCCTCCTTTTCCTGCTCTTCTGAGAAGTACCCACGCCTGAAAGACACCACCTTCACCGGGGTGACAGTGGAGGATTGCAGGATGATCCTGGCCACAGGTACTGCTGCTGGGCTTGGTCTGAGAGGGCAGGGCTGGGGGAAAGGGACATTCTGGTCTTTGGGGTGCTGCTTTGCACCCTTCTCAGCCCCTGAGACTGGAGGGCACCAAGGGGCTGCCTTCAAATTCTGTGAAGGTGTATGAGGAGTAAGTTGAGGAATAATTCAGTTGAGGAGTAACTCAGTATATTGGGGTGAAGAATCAATTGGATTTTGCACTGTCAGGAACAATAGAGGGTTTGCAAAGGCTCTGTGGGGTCAGACAGCAGGATCTGTGTGGAAGGAACATGTTTGCTACGTCATCCCAGCACTGAGCTCAGCTTCTCTTTCACCATCTTCCAATTCCCTTCGTATTCCTTCTGTGTCAGACCTTGGATGGAGCCGGGTGCCCCACGCAGAAATGCTCTCGGCACATCCTTTATAAAGAGCTGGGAGCCTGAGCAGTTTTGTTCTGCTCCAGTTCCTAACTTTGATTGCAGTGTGTGGAAACTGAGTATCAGTTGTTAGTGATAAGAGACTCCCTGCATTGATTGCAAGGGAAACCAGCCTCGCCTCAGGCCCGGAATGAAAATTCATTAAGATGAAAAGTCAGGAAAGGAAATCAGATGGAAGGCAGAGCTCTTTTAAGAGGGTTTCATTCCTCTGCTTTCCTGCTTATCTTCCTTGGGCCCCATCTCTGTCTCCCTTCTCCTTTTGCAGACATTCTGAAACAGATGGAAGACATAAAAAAAGGGACGTGGAAAAGACTGCGGGAAAAGTTCTCTGCCAAGAAACCCGAGGACGACTTGAAGTGAGGGCCCAGCTCTCAGCTCCTCCACTGTACATATCCCTGAAGCTCTGTGTGTTGCCATGATGAATAAAACTGCTTATTCCTCTTAGCAACAGCGTTTTTGTTCAGCCCTACCCTGTACATTCTTCATATTTAGTGCCTCCTTTTTTTTCTGCTGAGAATCTAGCACATCCATGCTGGAGCAGTGTAGAGAAGGGAACTTTGTGGTGTCAAACCTGGCCCTTTGTATCTCAAAAAATGGAACAAGCAGGAGCTGCCCAGAGGGAGGAGGTGCAGCTTTAAATGTTCTTGTGAAGAGAACAGAGAGGATGTGAAAACCTCTCTGTGCTTGTGTTTGTGTGTTAGCCCAGGGACCAGGGCAGTGCAGGGAGGGAGAACTTTAATCATCACATTTATTTTCCTTCAGAGAAGACAGAGAGGATGGAGGGTGACTTTGCCATGGTGACAGCAGAGCACTGCACAAGTTTAATTCAGATTTTAATCAGCTGCTGCAGAGCTGCTGCTGCTGGAGGAGCCATCTCTGTGCAGATTCCCCCCCAGCCTGAGGAGAGAGGGATGTGTGGGTTAGTGCAGAGCTGAGGGTGAAGGCAGGATTAAATGACATGCTGCTAGATGGGGCTATAAACACATTTCAAGTGCTCTGCAACTTCACTGTTATGGGCTTTTTTATTCCTTTTTAGAGCTTTACTGCTTTCATCAGTGTCTGTTCTTGGGCTTGGAGCTGGGGCTGGCTTGGGAAGGATGAGTGTCTGGAGCAGAGCTGTGCCAGGGCTCCACAGCACCAACAGCTGCTCCTTTTTATGGGTTTCAGCAGCAATTGCCTGGCAGGCAGTGAAAGAATTTCAAACTGCAGCAGGCTCTGGTCCAGAGCTCCAGGAACCAAGGCTGGTGCTCCTGGTGGCTCTTCATGGCAGTGTTTGGCAGGGGATGTGCAACACCTGGAGCTGGGAGCAGCAGCAGGCTGGGGAGCACCTTGGGTGCCAGCTTTGGGTTCTGCTCCTGGCCTTGTTCTGTGCCTCTGTTTGACAGGCCCATCCCACACCAGAGGGCACAGGAAGGGGACTTTCTTTACCATGTTGAAGTTTTTATTATAACATGATTCTGTATTTAATTTAGTTAAGGCAATTTACACTTCAGTTCTTAAGTAACAATAACGACTTAAAAAAAAAAAAAAAGGGAAAAAAAAAAAAGGTAAAACATGACACCAGAGATGAAACTAAAACACAGGACACCCCTTCACAGTGAACTCCTGTAAACCTGCAGGTTCCTACTACTACTGCTGCCCAAAGATCCTTGGTCCACAGAAGGCAAAAGACTTTTAGTTCCCACTAGGACAAGCTCAGCTCCTCATCTGGTGAGTTAATTAAATTAAATTAAATCCACCTCCTTGAGTTCAGCTGCTCTTTTCTGCACCACGGGATGAAGAGAATTCTGTAAATGGAGAGGGGTCAGCGTGGAGCAGGCACAGCACATAACGAGGGCTGCTTGGCAAATATCCACAGGGACAAGTGGCACTCAGAATAAGTTAAATAGTGCGGCCCTACAGCTACTTACCCCACAGCTGAGGGGCTGGAGCACATGGAGATAAAGATACAACCCTCCACAGTTGCAAAATAAAGAGTTATTGCAATGAGGAATGAAAGTCCTGTATGGTTTATCTTCCTACGAGGGTGTTAGAAAAACACCTGGGCCCAGGTGTGGGGAGGACTCCGGCCAGTCCCTGCTCCTGGAATTGCTTACAAGCGCTCTAAGGGAGATGCTGCCTGGGAAGCCCTTTCCATGTGGTCCATTGTCCCCAGACAGTGACAATCCATGCCTGGAGCCCAGGGAGGAGCAGCCTCCTCAGCTGACACAGGTGCAGTCCCTCGGTGGCTGGAGCTGTGTCTCAGTGGTTCATGGTGTTCTGGACATCCACAAACCCCATCCTCTGCCTGCGCTTCCGCTGCTCCGTCATCTGCAATCCCAACAAGGACATGCTGAGGCAATTCCAGGCCCTTCCGCTCTTGGATGTGCTTCCCAAGTGTCTGCCTGCACTGCTTTGAGCCTCTGCCAGCAAACTGAGCTCATGAGGCACTACCCAAACCCACGTGCCCCAATTCCCCCAGAAAAGAGCTGCAGGAGCCCTGTACTTGTATTGTTGTCGTGCTGCCTTGGGCAGGTCCTGCCTCCCACTCCCTGCCCTCAGTGGCTATTCTGGGAAGGACAGAGGGTTCCTATGGGGATTTCCCATTTCCCATACCTGTTCCTTCAGCTCGTTCAGCTGGGAGGTGAGGTGGGACACGAGCTTCATGGTGGTGTTGAGTTTGTCCTGCAGATTGCGGATCTCGTTCTGCTCCCCTTCCCCTTCATTGCTGACCAGAGACATGGCTCGCATCCGGGGGAACCAGTCCAGGTTCTTGTTCTGGGAACATGACCACAGACAAGGTGGGGTGGGGTGAGGGGTCAGAGAGAAGGAGGGAAGATAGTGTTTAACAGGCAGCCTCCCTGTGCTTAGGGATTAAATGAAATTCTCTTTGCAAAAATATGCAATTTTTCCATGCATGTTCCATTTCTAGGTTGGTTCTTGGGCTCAAGTGCAGAAGTTTTTCTTTCCTTGCTTTCCTTTCCCTCCCTTGCCTTGAAACACCCTTGAAGCTCCACTCCCTGCTTGGTTCAAGCCTTCAACTCACGGGATGAACCCTCAAACAGACCACATGGAAAAAAACAGCTAAGGACAAACTCAGGCACTGCACCATTAGCCAATATTTTCCAAAAGGATTTCCCAGAGCTATTTTCCCTTGGCCAGCCCCTTGTTCCTGATATCCTCAGGGCAGGCAGGTTGGGATAGGCAAGGAGCTGCCCCGAGGGCACCTGTACCTTGATCATCTGTGCCACGTAGCTCTCGGGGCCAGTGTAGTCGGTCTTGTTCTTCACCCGCACCAGCACGATGAAGTACAGGTAGTTCCACATGTTGTGCTCATATTTGATGTGCTCCTCAAAGGACACGGTCTTGTTGTCAAACTTGTCCCTTTCCAGCCCTGGGAAAGGCAGGGAAGGGTGGAGAAGGACAGGGAGGTGAGTGAGCAGCAAACACATGGAACTTCAGTCTAGTGCATCCCCTCCCAAAGGCGACATTCAAGTGCTTTTAATGATTAGTTGGAATTTAGCACATAAATGTCCAAAGCAGGTGGTAAGAACCCAGCTGGGGGTTCAGGAGACTTCGGTTTAAAATCACAGAATCAGAAAATCATGGAATGGTTTGGGCTGGAAGGGATCTTCCACCTGCCATGGGCAGGGACACCTTCCACTATGTCAGGTTGCTTCAAGTCCCATCCAAGCTGGCCTTGGACACTTCCAGGGATGGGGCAGCCACAGCTTCTCTGGGCACCCTGTGCCAGGACCTCCCACCCTCACAGGGAACAATTTCTTCCCATGTTCTGCTGGCTCTTTCCAGTAAAATAAACACAGAGGATATTCAAAGGAAAAAGCACAGAGAGATTTACTGGGGTTTTCCTTTCTTTTTTTTTTTCTTATGCCCATTGCTGACTGAAAGGATTTCAGAGTATTTTGTCTATTACATTTCTCCAGCGATGCTGCTTTTTATCCCCACTGGCCAAGGGAAGGTCTCAACAGTGAGATGCAACAAGAACACCACAAAGTGGTTTTACATTCACACCTCATTAGCAAGGTGAGGAACAGCACCGAGAATTTCTCTCCAGTTATGTCTTTGTTTAAACCCCTCCCAGTGCAGTGACCCCTTGCTGAGCAGATTCAGCTTTTGCAGTGGTAAATAAAAACCAGAATCCAGCTGAAATTCTTTTCCTTCCCCCAGTCTGGGAGGGGAGGAAGAGCTTTGGGGTAATTCCTGTGTTCCCAGTGCTCACCACAAATGAAACAGGTGGTCTTCAGGATCTCTTCCTTTTTCTGTTTCTCGCTCCTCAGATCAGCAAAGGTGTCAATAATGACCCCAAAGATGAGGTTGAGGACGATGATAATGACAATGAAGAAGAAGAGGAGGTCGTAGACAACTCGAGCAGGGAACAGGGACTCCTGTAATGGATGAGAGGGAGAATTGTGTGTCTGGCACAGCTCTGCTCCCATCACCCCAGCCCTGACACGGCCGTGGCTGAGGCACCCAGGGGAGGAGGAGAACGTGAGGGATGGAGCTGGATGTGTCACAGCTAACAGGAAGGGGGACCAGCAGTGATTGCAGCAGGGTTTAGCAGAAGAAAAGAGGTCCCAGGTGCTGTCCCCACTCACATCCTTGGAGGGTTTCCTCAGGATGTCCCCCACGCCGCCGCCGTTGCGCAGGCCGTGGTTGAGCACGGTGACGATGCACATGAGCAGTGTGTCACAGGCACGTTCCCACTGCTCTGGGTCAGCTTCTGGGGATGAGAGCAGAGCAAGGACTCAGAGCCCAGCAGAGCACCAGACCCTGGCACTGGGATGGTTCCAGCTGCAGTGGCAGTGACAAAGAAGCAGCTGCCTGTTGTGATATCCCAGCCATCAACATCCTAGCAGCTCCTCCAGCAGCCAAACACTCCTGCAGCTCCCACCTCCTTTCTGATTAAATTAATCCACCCCAACATTTTTGATGGCAGGGTCAGTGCAAAAGTCACAGGCCTCCTGCCCAACATGTCCCAGGAAGTGGATTTAGTTTCTGCCTTGGAAAAGCTGGGATTTTCCTCAGTTGGCTGGCATTTCCACAGGGCTCTCTTACCTTCCAAGGCAGTGGGTGCAGCAGAGCAGCTGATTTTGTCACTGCTGCATGACTCCATGAAGGTCTCCACGTTCCTTTGCATCCCCAAGGGATCATCTGCAAGGAAGAGACCCCAGCCCTGTGAGAGCAGCACCTCTCCCCAGCAAACCCCTGTCATGGGCTCCCAGGAAGATGCCAACCTTCTTGGGGAAAAGTTGCTTCATATTCTCCTACTTTTTCTAGGCCCTGAAGCTTTTTCTCAGTGTTGAGACCCGTGCAGTGCTGACCCTTCATTTGTAGCTCTGTGTCCACTTCTCTGCCACCACTAACCCCAAACCCTGCTCTGTGCAGCACGAGCACAAAGCTGTCCTCTCTGGGACCCCAAAACCAGTGCTCCCAGTGTGAAAGCC